GACACAGCCATTACGCTAACTGCTGGTTCCCCACCAAGCCCTTTTAACAAGCTCTCCTTTCCTGAGGCAGCTGTTAGAGAACCCTGTTCTAACTACAGCACTCTCCACCAGAGCCGAGTCCCCTCTAGCTGCTCCCTTCCTGGGACCTTGGGCAACTCCCTCAGCTTTCCTGAGCTTCACTTTTCCTCCGTCATAAAATAGAAGTAATAATAGTACCTGCCTTCTTGGGTTGTTGTGAGAATTAAGTGAGATTCTGGCTCATTACAAATGCTTAGCTCAGGGCCGGAAACATGACCGAAGCTTATTACAGAAGAGAAAAAAACATATATAAACATACACACACACACACACACACACACACACACATATGTATATATATAGAGAGAGAGAAGAGAGAGAGAGTTCTTTTTTTGCTGTAGGGCATGTGCATTTGCCAGACAGACAGAGAGAGGGAAGTTGGGAACTCACACCCCAGAGGGGATGGCCATGCCACGATCCCCAGGCCCTTTCCCATTCTCCTCTCAGGACTTCGGGCATGCACACGCACACACACGCATCCAGCATGTTTTCCACTCCACCATGTCTGGGACTCGAACCGTGGAGTGAGCCATGTAGGATCCAGCCTCTTTAACTTCCATGCCACCTGCTGGTCCTAGATGTTATCCTGCCTCAGGATGGCCTGGATTTCTCTGTCATTTACCCCTGCTGGCTCCCCACCGCTGAATGATCTGCAGCCTTCCATAACTTTCATAGACGTGAGGGCAAGTTCATTGGAAGAACTCCTACGGAGCCATCTGGGAAGTTTATTCTTCGCAGCATGTCACTGTCATTTCCTGTGTTTGTCACACTAACTCCCCTTGAATAAGACCTCCTGTGGAAGCGTTCCACTGAACTCTAGCCTTGCAAGGTTGGGATTGTGGTCTTCATGTTGCGGATGAGAGAGCCGAGGCCTCAGGTCCACAGTGCCCACGTGGCCACGTCTGGTGTCGCTGTGGCTCGAATTCATCTCCATCCCACTGCCCCACGTGGCCTAATGGGGGCAGACTCAGCAGTCTCAGGTTTCCAAGGCTGGTAACTCTCAGCTCCTGCACAGTGGCCGGAAGCCGCCCATTCCTAGGCCTTCCTCTGGGACAGCCTACATGTGACCGTCCTTCCGTGTCTTTAGTTTCAGGTCTGTGCGGCTGCTAAAGAACGACCCAGTCACCTTCCAGAAGTTCCCGTACACTAGTGAGGATGAGGCCTGGAAGACATACCTGGAGAACCCCTTGACAGCCGCCACGAAGGCCATGATGAGAGTCAACGGGGACGATGACAGCGTCGCAGCCCTGAGCTTCCTCTATGATTACTACATGGTACGTCCGCCCATGGGCTGCCACCTGCTGACTGTGTCTTTGCTTTCAGGCCTCATGCTCCACAGCCCAAACCCCCTCACCTCCGGGTCTTTGCACACGCTGTTCCCTCTGCCTGGCACCTTCCCTCACTCCTTTCCCCTGACGAGCCCTGTCCTCAGCTTGGGTCTCCGCTGACGTGTTACCTCGTTCGTTCATTGAGTGGGGGCAGGCTTTCTTGGGCCTCTCATCTCTGCACCCTCTGGGCACCCTCAGTGGCCGCAGTCATCCTTGACTCCACCATAGGAACTTGCTGTTGCACATTCACTTCCCCATCTCCCACGAGCCTGACCGGGAGCGCGGGCGCCATGCGGTGAGCTTTCTGAGTTCCCAGCCTGTGCAGCGCCACATGGGGCACAGCGCACTGAGCAGATGAATGCCCACCCCTGTCCCTCCTGTCTGTTCAGACCCCATATCCTGAAACATCCCCTCTGCTCTTTAACCCATCCCCATCCTTCAGGCTCCTCCTGAGGCCACCTCTTCAGGGAAGCCCTCCTGCCACCTCACTTCTCCCTGTAGTGATAGTCTTCGTATTCTTGCAACCCTGCCGCCATTAATGCACTGAGACAGACTGTGACACACTTCTGTTGTTCTTGAAGTGTTCCCGGGGCCTGGGCCTTGATTCCGGGAGACAGCTGGCTCCTGAGAACAGGAACGAGGCCCTCCCACATCTGATCAGTGGGGCTTTGATCAGTCAGTAGTCACAAACATGTAACAGACATAGCGCACACATGTGCACCCAGTGCCTATGCTGGACCTCGTAATGGGTCACAGCCTGCATTCTCACTGAGGACTCATGGAGCTGCACAGTCTTTGTCAATCCAGCACTCCCGGCAGTCCATTCCCTCTGTCCAAGTTGTGACAAGACAGTAAACCTTGCTGTCTCTGGGCTGGGTGATCGCACCATGAGACTTTCTTAGATATGGGGACAGGGGACGCCAGTACCTAACGGTTGGCATGGTTGGCCCTGAGCTTGCAGATGTGAGGCCACTGTATACATAAGCCCTCAGACTTACCAGCCCAAGCACTTTACCTGCCCTGCCGCAAGAAGGAGGGCAGATGCCCTGCATGAGCTCAGGCAATGGGGCATTGGTGCGTGGAGCAAGGTTGAAGAAAGGGCCGGACGGTCTCTCTGGCTTTGGTTCTCATCCAGGAGCAAAGTGATCGCCCCAGCCTACTCCCCAGCAAGCTGGGCACATGCCCACAGCGTGTAGCCCAGGCCAATGGGACGGAAATTTAAATGGCTGTCCCACTGGGGGCTGTGGAGGGAATGAGAATTCTTGGTCTCCAAAATCCAGCACCACCTCCCCTGAGCAAGAAGCCATTCTCTGGGCCAGAGTGGTGGGGACAGGCTCTGCAGGTGACACCTGTGCTGGTTTTGGCGAAGTTCAGTGTCTTGGTGAGGTTCACCTGCCCTGCTCCCCATCGCAGAGCACTTTGGAGTAGCCCATGAATAGCGAGGACGTAGTATGTGGCGTGGAAAGAGCGCTAGGCTGGGCGTTTTGAGACCTGGCCCTGCCAGTGGCTTCAGCAGTACAGTGCCAGGGCAGGCCACTTCCTGTTTCCACGGAGGCCCAGCGCTGTACCCGGGCCTTCTGCCCTCATACTCTTCCAGGGAGTGTGTGATTAAGAGTGCAGGCTTTGTAGTCACTGGCCCGGGTTTGAGTCTTGGTCCTAGCTTCATTAGCCTTAGGGACAAATGACTTAGGGACAGTATTCTCAGAAAAATAGTTTATTATAATCACGACAGGTCACCTTTATATAACGTTTTCTATGTGCTAGTGCTTAGCACACAACAGCCCCTAAGCCTGGTATTGCCATTATCATCCCTATTTTTAATAGATGAGGATATGAAGTACAGGGAGGTTAAGGGACTTGCCCACAGTCACACAGCAACTCCCGGGTAGACCCAGGGTGAATCCAACAACTCTGAGTTCAGAGTTCATGTTCCTCACCATTAGGACGATAGAGCTCTCCTGAGCCTCAGACTCCTCGCTCACATACTGGCGATGATTAGACATCTCAGGTGGTGAAGCTAGAGAGCAGAAGGCATCAGAACAGGTCTACACAGAGGAGGTAGCCTACCAAGAAGAGCGACCGTCATTTTTATTCATCTTCATGATCCACTTGAAGCAGGTGTTACAGTTCTTCACGTGACAAATGAGGAACCGGCGTCTTGAGAGGGGCACAGTGATTTGCCCAGTCATATGGCACCTTAAAGAGGCAAAGGCAGGATTTAAGTCGGGTCCTGCCCGACTCCAAATTCCATGCTCCTTAAGTGCTAACCTTGAGGTGCTTCTTCCCGCCCACTCAGCTGGGCTCAGATTAACGGTGGTGGTGCCACGGCCCGTGTACAGGACTTGGAGACTTTCCCTGGCGACCAGGGTTGCTCCCCTGGCTGGCCAAGGCCACAGGTGGGAGCTGCGGATTTCAAGAGCTGGTCCCAGCCAAGAGCCACGCATAAACCCTTCCTTCCTCTCCTCACAGGGCCCGAAGGAGAAGCGGATACTGTCCTCCAGCACAGGGGGCCGTAACGACCAAGGAAAGCGGTGAGGCTCCCTCCTGCGCCGCCCTCTCTGCCTTTGCCCTCCCCCCAGCCTCCTTGGCGCAAGCCCACAGCCTCAGGCCCAGGACAACATTTTCTGGGAACTGCAAAACTGACTTAATTGTATATATTTTCAGTCAGATGGAAAATAGAAATATATTCCAACCTGATTATGTTGTCTTTATAGCAATGCTATAAAGGGACATTTGAGATTTGACTCTGGCTAAGAAATAAATTGTTAGAAAAAAAAAAAAAAAAAGATTATGGGGCTGGCAGGTGGCATGGTGGTTGAGGACGCTGGAGTCCCACATGGCTGACCGCAGTTCCAGTCCTGGACCTGGTGGCTTGCTTTCTCACCTTCTCTCTCTCCCTCGTTCCGTCCCTCTCTAGTCAAATTAAAATAAATAAATAAAGTTAAGGTAATTCTTAACAAAAAAAAAAAAAAGAGAAAAGGTTAAACAATCAGTGTTTTTAATTAATGGTTATTATAATGGGCAAAAACATTACCACCCCACAACCCTGAGCTCATATGAGGAGTCTACAAAACAGTCATGGAAAACTTATGCTATAAAAAAGCTATGCATAGATTTCGAAATGTTTTGGAACCAACGTAAACTCACATTATGATTCCATTTTCCACAGCCCTTTCGAAGCCCCATGTACTTGGCTAAGTTCTTGACACCCTCCTCCCTGCCCATCCCTGTGACAGACTGGCTGGCCACAAGTTTCTCGCTCCATGCACATAGAGGGGGAAGGGGCTTAACATGACAATGGGTAAGGGTCAGTGTCCCAGGGCGCTGTCGCCTGCCAGGGAGCCCCACACTCACTGAGTACCTCCCGTCCCCCAGGAACTACCATGGCATGGAGTACGAGACGGACCTCGCCCCCCTTGAAAGCCCCACACACCTCATGAAATTCCTGACGGAGAATGTGTCTGCCACGCCAGAGTACCCCGATCTGCTCAAGAAGAATAACCTGATGACCCTGGAGGGGGCCGTGCCCACCCCTGGCAAAGCTGCTCCCCTCCTGCCGGGCCCCAGCAAGCTGGAAGCAGGCTCTGCGGACAGCTACCTGTTGCCCACCAGTGACATGTACGACGGCGGCTCCCTCAGCTCCTTGTTTGAGAGCATTCACGGGGTGCCCCCTGCCCAGCGCTGGCAGCCAGACAGCACCTTCAAGGATGACCCGCAGGAGGTGAGGGCCACCCCCACACCCCCCACAGCCTTGCTGGATGTGTACATGCATGTGCGGAAGAGAGAAGATGGAAGGTCAGAGCTGTGGGATCCGGGAGAGCGTCCCAGAGCTGAGGCGGGCCACCGCCGTGCCCGGTCTTCCAAGTGGTACGCAGCACAGCCTGCACGAGGCGCGTGCGGCCCTCGGCTGAGGCCCCGCAGCCTGAGCGTGGCCATTTATTCTCTCTGCGTTGTGTTTCTCTGCAGTCACTACTCTTCCCTGATATTCTGAAAACATCCCCGGAACCCCTGTGTCCAGAGGACTACCCCAGCCTCAAGAGGTAAGTTGGCCTCTCTGGACCCTTGGCCACTGGACCCTCTGGACCTTACCCACCCTTGGTAGTGGCCAGGTGGCTGCAGACGGAGCCCATGCTGTCCCCAGAACAAACGAAAAGAGGGAAGCAGAGGTGGATAAAGAGAGAATGATTCCCATCTCTGTCCTGGCCTGTGACGGGAGCTCAGACCCTACCAGAAAACTCATGTCCCGTTGTCCTTGGTCTCCTGGCATTGTTACTCCCTGGGGTCTCCCTGATTTTCACTGGGCCCCCATTATTCAGCCAGAACATAACTCAACAAAGCTGTTAAATAGAACTTCAGAACGAGGACACTAATGCCCAGGGGAGTAGAGAGATTTCCCAGGTCACACAGCAAGTCCGTAGCCCTGCCGAAAGCTTCCTGCCCACTGCTTTCTGGGGCACTCTGCCTGGGGGCCTCTCGCCTTAAAAGCCCCACCGTCTCCTCTGTCCTGTCGCAGTGACTTTGAGTACACCCTGGGCTCCCCCAAAGCCATCCACATCAAGGCAGGCGAGTCACCCATGGCGTACCTCAACAAGGGCCAGTTCTACCCTGTCACGCTGCGGACCCCAGCAGGTGGCAAAGGCCTAGCCTTGTCCTCCAACAAAGTCAAGGTATGTGGGAGCAGCTGGGGTGGCACGCCTGTGGTCAGGTCAGCAGGGACCCTGGGGAGAGGCTCTTAGCGGGAGGACACCGGGGAAAGCGGCAGGCCCCGGGCCAGGCGGGGCAGACCGGGTGATGCAGCCCGTCACTTGCAGAGTGTGGTGATGGTCGTCTTCGACAACGAGAAGGTCCCAGTGGAGCAGCTGCGGCTCTGGAAGCACTGGCATTCCCGGCAGCCCACGGCCAAGCAGCGCGTCATCGACGTGGGTGAGCCGCGCCTCCGCTGTCCCGCCAGCTCTTTTTCCCCTGGCCCCCCATGGACCAGCCAGGCCTCTTTCTTGCTGCACCCCCTTTTCCTAGCCTCCCCTGACCTCTGCTTCCCATCAAATGCTGTGGAGTCTGCAGAGGTTTGTGTCTGACTAAAAGTAACGCCTCTTTTCTGTGCTGCTTCGGGCTAAACAGGCCCCCAAGACCCCGGCAGTGTCAGGTGAGCAGGCCCCATGGTGGTGTCTTGTTTGTGCCCCTGGGGCCTCGGATAAGGGTGCGGAGAGCGGGCCATTTGGAAAGCCTGAAGCACAGCACAGGGCCGTCCCTGGGGAGCTGGGGTCTGCGGCTCTCAGGGTAGGGCAGAGGGAAGCCCCCATGTACGCCAGCTGGTCACCCTGGGCCCTGAACAGCAGGGAGCGCAGTTCACCTTCTAGTCTCCAGGCTCTGCCCCATCACTCCCTTCTGGCTATGTGACCTGTGTCACCTCCTTCCTGAGCCTCAGTGTGTTCACCTGCTGCCCGGGTGCTGACTTCTGCTTTACCGGGGCACGATACTGAGAGGGACGATTTGGTGACTGACCGAGAGGCTGGGCAGCTGAATGGTTAGAAGCCTGGATTCAGGCGCATCTGAGCCCCAGTCCTCGCTCTGCCTTTTCTCTTAGCTGTGTGACCTTGGGCAAGTGACCAGACTCTCTGAGCGCCGTGTCCCTCCCGTATGCGCACGTGGTGAGGCCCGAAGGGCCCGCCGTCCCGTGTTCAGTCAGGTAGTCGCGGCCTGCTGCTCCTCAGCTGCGGTCCCTGCGCTCTGCTGCTCCTGCTGCCGCCACACTGCTACCCCTTATCTGGGAGGACTCCGAAACCACAGTCCCAACAAGAAGTGCAACCTCCGCCTGAGCGTGCTGAGGGCCCTGCCCACCTGGCACAGCCGGGGCTGCCCTTGGGGCTTTGAGCAAATCGGCTTCCCAGGCTGGACCTGGCTCCCATCTGTGACCCAGCACATGGGGATCCATGCTCCTCCCCGAGCGGATACAGGCCCCTGCCGGGAGTGAGGCCAGCTTCCAAGGGCCTCCTCCCCAAAGTGACCCTGGACCTTCCGCTCCTGAGGCCCCTGGTTTCCGTCTTTCAGCTGACTGCAAAGAGAACTTCAACACTGTGCAGCACATCGAGGAGGTGGCCTACAATGCGCTGTCCTTCATGTGGAACGTCAACGAGGAGGCCAAGGTGCGTGCTGAAGGACGGGGCGGCAGGGTTGTACCAAGCTGGGGAGAGGCTTGCCTGCCCCTCAGACTGGCCTTTGCCCTGGAGAGGGTCCTCATGGGGAGCAGGGTGCGGAGTAGGAGGTCGGGGTGCGGAGTAGGAGGTCGGGGTGCAGAGTAGGAGGTCACAGTGTGGAGTAGGAGGTCACGGTGTGGAGTAGGAGGTCGGGGTGTGCAGTAGGAGGTCGGGGTGCGGAGTAGGAGGTCGGGGT